TAAAATGTGGTTAGTGTAAATAAATGCAAATAAAATGTAAAAATTAGTAATGGGGTAAGAAAACTACTCATTCTCGCTCCAAGTTTATTTTTCTGCCCCACTGACATTTTTAAATTAACCACATTTACCTAATTTATTTCAGTAAATATATATAAAAAATGTTTTGTTTACTAGACAAAACTACTAAGACAATTATTTGTGCAGTGTATTATTTGAGCATGAGGTAACGATGTACTACAGACTTTGCAAAGTTCAAGTTCAAGTTAATTTTATTTGTACAGCACATTTACAGCAGCCGCTAGGCTGACCAAAGTGCTTTACAGAAGAGAAATTTATAAAACATACACAGAAAACAAGCCAAATAAAAATATGAACAACCCATTAAAAAATTACCGAATAACAGTAATCAATACACTAAGGAAAACAGATAGGTTTTTAGCAGGGACTTAAAGACAGGCAGAGAAGGGGCCATTCTAATTTCTAAAGGCAGGGTATTCCAAAGCCGTGGCCCTGCCACCGCAAATGCACGCTCCCCTCTACGCTTAAGTCTAACATGTGGAACTACCAACAAAGCCTGGTCGCAAGATCTTAGGCTTCTAGATGGAGTGTATAAATGAAGAAGTTCAGAGAGGTAGACAGGAGCTAGGTTATGTAACGATTTAAAAACAAAGAGTAGAATTTTGAAGTCTATTCTCTGATGAACCGGCAACCAGTGTAGAGATCTGAGAATTGGAGTAATGTGTTCATGTTTGCGACACTTCAGAAGAAGTCTGGCCACAGCGTTTTGGACTAGCTGAAGGCGTGCAATTTGAGATTTAGATATACCGCAATATAAGGAATTGCAGTAATCTAGCCGAGATGTAACAAACGCATGAACAGCCATTTCTAGAGTTTTGGGAGTGAGAAAGTCCCCAAAGAGGCTGTTACCGAAAGCAATGATTGATCATGAAACACCAACATGAAATCACTGCTGTGATCTCAGTTCTGTGATTGGTTATAGTGGCAGGAAACCCTCACATCCCACAGCCTGAGCAGTGACGGTGTGCCGTAGTCATGGTCTCTGTGTGTTGATGTTTGTCCCTGACTAGTTATATTTAGTGGTGTTAAACCATTTTGAAATTCAATCTGCTGTCTTACTGAAAGCTCCGGAGAGACTTTCCCGCCACATGGTCAATGGAGAAAAGCACCAGCAGTCACCCATTATAGACTCAAAGACTTCCTGAGTTTTATGTTAAACTCCATATGGTTACACTTAATTTAAGGTATCCTAGTTACAGACTAATTATATATTTAGGAACTGAGTAATATTAACAGTATGTACCTGCTATAGGGTTAGTTGCATATAATATGCATAATTTACTGTTATTACTATGTAACTATTATGTAACATGCGTAACAAGGACACTGTAAAATAGTGTTACCAAGTTTTATATCAGATTAGTTTCGCCATGTGCAAAACAAGACATTTTCTCAAGAACAGACATTTGAGCATTTTTTCCAATTGATCATTACAGTGCTGCCAAAGACTTCCCCTTAAATAAAAAAACATAATGTAAATGATAATTGAACTAAATATGAGAAATTATTGTTTACACAATGTGTGACTGTCCCTCTTGTGATGCAATTCCCCCACAACCAACAATTTTGCCCCTAATAGTTTTATTAAAGTCAAATAGTTTTATTCAAATTAAGTTGTAATTTTGCCTAATTATACAAAAAGTGTAGCGCCATAATAGTAGATCTTGTGGTCTTTTGAAGATAGATTGTGTGAGGAACCAGACCTAAATGTAAAACTCTATTCTGCCTCAACATCTTTTGTATTCCACACAAGAAAGTCACACGGGTTTGGAGCGCCATGAGAGTAATTGATGGCCTCAGTACAAAGCCATCATGTGTTGTCTCATATCTGCAGTGAGTGCATTTTAACCAGAACTGCTTCATCTTATCTGTATTCACTTGCTAACTGCATGATAATAGGTTTTGACAGGGCAAAAATGAAGCTCCCAGGGATCCTTCACGACTAAACATCCAAATTTAACTCGTTTACTAAATTACTTCCTCTCAAACTGATGCTACAGGCTGAATATTGCCACAGCTGTTTCTGTTCAAGCTGGTGATGATACGTTTGACATCTCTTCTTCATCACTCTGTGCATTTGGATATATAAACACAGAAACTTGATGAAATGCTCGTTTGTCTCCTCAGCAGAGCAGAAACCAAAAGCTCATTTCCCACGAGTTGAGCACATCTCATCCTAGTTTGATGTGCTCCTAATGAATTAGACAGCTGCTCTTGCAACCGAAATGGTTTTCAAGTTACATTAATGTATTATAGGGTTACAATGGCATAGTGTTTAAAGCAATTACAGAGTAAAGAAAACGTGATGACTGATGTAGAGATGGATGCCACAACCTTATTTGCACATCTTTATAACATAAACTGCAATCCGCCTGGATAGGATATGATATTATTAGATTTCTGATTTGCTCATGTTCATGGTGGCGACCTCTTTAGTGGCCTTATGAAATGTCACTATGGGACTTTGCCATTTATGCCGTTTGTATGGATCCATCTTTTGCCCTTTACAAATGTGCTCCTGTGTGGCTTCAAATGAGGCCACATATATTATACATGCCTGTGTATTCTTATATTATTGTACGTGTTGTGCTTTAACTGTCTCAATAACAAAATTGCAGTAGATGTTACCAATAACAGTGAAATTGTACAAGTTATGTGCCAAAGTTGAGTACGTTTAGAAGTTTGTATAATATAAAGTATGAGCAGCAATAATAAAGCTTAGCAAACACCAATACAAATAAAATGAGGCAAATAAATACCGTGCTACTTTCCATTATTAGCATGCTATTTAACTGTCCATTGTGGAGATACAGTTGGATGGTTCTTTTGTCTATTTTAGTCTTTATTGTGAATGCTATAAATACACAGGCAGACAGAGCTGGTCAGGGGTGTGAGCTCAGGGTCAGTCCATTAACAGACAAGGTTTAACACAACCTGGAGCTTCTCCTGAACTTTAATACCAGTAAAACAGACTCAGTCCCACCACCATTACTGAATGTGCACCACAACCGTCTCCATGACTGGTACCCAGGCACACCGATACAAACATAAAAAAAAAAAAAGATATGCCATATAATGATCAGTATGAAATTGCTGTACATGGGCATACAAAATAAGAAACATAAAAAAGGAAATATACATAGTACAGCTCAGTGCTTAAATTTCAGTTTCCAAGTCGATCCTTTAAACCCCTCTTGAATTTTCAGTAGTTCCAGTCATTCTCCGCTGGCTTCTTTAAATCATTCCCATTTCCTTTACCAAGCACCCTTAGCCTCTACAGCCCGGCTGTGCACACAGGGGTGACTTAGACACTCATATGTGTCACACATGCCTCTTTGGGAAGATGAGATGTGCTTTTAGCTCTGCCTGAGTGTTTGAGCTGCCATCCTGAGAGCCATCTTTATCCCTCGGGGTGAAATGTGAGGGGAGGGGGCGTGCAGTCTGCTCCAGCCCCCAAAACAGGCCCAGAAGAAAACTCTTGATTAAAAGTCTGCGCTGGTTATGCCAGGCATCCCACGCTAGGCTGACTGGGCTTATAAATAGATGGCTCATGGGAGGGGGATCGGGGTCTAACACTCACACAGGGGCCTATTAAGAGCTCATCTGAACAACAGTCTCTCCTTGAGCTCCTTCACTGGAGAGGACACCATCTTCATCACCATCATCATCATTGGGGTGATCTCATTCACTGAGAGAATTATTTCAGCTTAATAAAGGCAGTTATCAAGCACGCTCTTACACAAATATGCAGACGTGCTTTTTATGGATGATTAGGAACAGCACAAGAGAGATTCAAGTGAACCGAAGCAAATAGTTAGCACATGTGAACTCCACAATATGATGCTTTGTTTTGTTTTTTCGTGGTTTTCAAAGTACAGTCTTGAAATCTTACAGGTATTGACATGCTTATTTCATTGTGCTTTTATATTTCAGCACATAAAATTGAATTGTGTAAATTCTGCATCACTGGTGGCACCAAATGATAAAGACAAGCATAAAACATTTCATAAAACAAAGTCTTTTGTACTGCAATATAACAGTGCTACCAATAAAACATGCCTATTTAGTAAAAATGGCAAACTGAAAATATAATAAGAAAATATAAGACTGTTTCAGTAATGGCCATTAGTTGATGAATGTTTCAAAACATTGCTTTGTGAAGCTTTGAAACCTTTGCATTATTTTGATTTGAACCAGTGTTGCCAAACTGCCAAAGTCGCTTTGTCACTTCATAGCTGTCGAAAGGTTTCAAAAGTTCAAAGGTTTGCCACTAGGGAGCAATCTTATTGAACCCATCAACTAGTGTCAATACATTTATTTATTTATTTATTTATGTATTTTACCTGATATTGGATCAGTTTTATAATGTAGACATTTTAATTGCACTTTATAATAAAATGAGGCATAGCAGTCTCTTATTGGCATTAGTACATTAATATTTAATGGTAGATAGCTTTTAACAGATTGCACTTTCAAGAAAACATTGGCAATTGGTTTGTAAAGGAGTTTTTGATGCATTTCCATTGTTTTGACCAGCGATTCAGAAACAGTGAATCATTTAATTGTTTCGCAGTTGCAAAAAGCTCAATTTGTCCCCTCTAGTGGCCGTTGCAGTAAGTTAAAAATTGCCATGTTGAACCACTCTAAAAGAGCAATGTTTTGAAAGTGCCACACTGTTTGCACTCTTTGAGAAATAAACCTTCAAGCAGCTTTCCTATACTTGGCTCTGAACGTCTCCTACCTCCTACAGGCCAGGAGAAAGTATTTCAATATCAAAAAGAAAGAAAAAAATTCACACACTTCACATTTAAACCACTTTTTCGTTATCCTGACTCCTTTGAAAACAGGAGTTTAACTTTAAAAATGTACAACACCGTCTTATGCAAACCACTGACATTACTCTCATGTTTGCTCTCCTAAAGGTCCTATGGAGAACTGACCAACTGCACGTTCCTGGTGGCTCTGAAGATGAACTGTTTCTGGCCCAACCGAATGGTGGACGAATTCTTCATCCGGGTGCACAGGCACTACTTCCATGACTGCTCAATGTCAGGACGGCTGCTTCATGATCCACCCAATCAGATCTTGGGGCCTTTTATTGTGGTGCCCATTCTGGTGACGCTACTCATGACTGCTCTAGTGGTGTGGAGGAGTAAACGCAGCGAGGGAATCATATAATCGTCTACGATAAACTAACCAAGTACCTCCACACTGAACAATAGAGAAGGAGACATTTCACAGACTGCAAACACTAAGAAAGACTTGTTTCTCATCAAGTGGTTGTATATCCAAACACTTATAGTGAACGCTGTCACTGTGTTATCTGCACACAGATAACATACCATTTATACAGACAAAAAAACGTTCAACACTATTTCTTTGAGGTATAGTTTTCAACTAAATGTTTTGTCATGCCGGTATTCTGTTAGTAAAACAGATCTCCAGTCTGGATGCAAGTCATTATCATGATGACGGATAAGTTTCACCTTGGATGGACACACACCAAAGGGAGGACACTGTTATTCCTATGAGTCTGACAAACCTTTATCATCATGTGAACATTGGACATTGAACAATCATTTTGTGTCACCCATCAACCTCAATACATTTCACACTCATACATTTGTGCCAAATGATGACACTCATTCAGTAAGTCATGATTAGTATTCTTTTGTTGATTTAAGAAAGAAGAATAAGAAAAGAGGGCTACAACCACGAACATGCCAATAATATTTACAATATCAGTGATCCGATCCCCAAAATGAACATCACCATCGGATATTGTAAGACACTCAAAAAGCTGTAGTAGATTCAAATGCTTTGTCCAAAATCTAAAGTGAATGTATCTTTCATAGACAAGTCAATCCCACAATGCATTGCTACAAAAACAAATTATCCAGGATTTTGGAGAGATGTGATAAATTGATACTTTTCAGTATTGAATGAAATCAATAAAAATCTTAAATTAAAATAAAAAATTGATTATTGGACACAATGTGTGGTGTACATAGCGCAGACCAACAGCAACAGACACCACTGATCTGACAAAACCAGCTCGCCGTCTGTCAGTGCAGTGTGAATTGGGCTTTTTTAGAAATCAGACCGAATAGAATGTCAGTAGGGACAATGTGATACCCACGTTACATTTAACCTTTTATTTGCTTAAAAGTCAGAAGTGTTCGGTTCAGCGTCATCACAAAACCCCCAATTGGGTAACTCTGCCTAAGAGATTAGATATCTACAGTATTTACTGCAGGCAATAGACATCAGGTTCTGGATCAGAGCTGCAGTTTTTTGTACTGACAGTGGCTATCAGATAATATTAGAAGCACTGAACCAGAAAGAATCACTGCATTTATTTGGTGTCTCTCATCTCATGGGCTCTCGTCATAAGGTCATGTCAAGGGAAAATATTTTCCTTCTGTAGCGGAGAGCAAGCTACCGGCTAAGAAGCTTGCAGCATTTGTTTGTGGAATAATTTATGTATTAGCACTAAAAGGATGTTTTCATTCACATGATTCTGCTAATTGCTTTTTTTAAGGCTATATATGTGTATCCCTGGAGCTCTGTACCCACAGTGAGTGGTTTAAAAGCGTGTTGCGAACTTGACAGTGGCACAGAGACAGTAGACATTTCTAATGTCAGCTGAATTTTAAAGCATCTGATTTCTGTTGCAGTTATAATAAAGCCATTTGCCCTCGACTCTTTTATTCCGTACATTTCCCCTCATTAGGGGTTTGCTTTGTAGCACATCATGTGCTGTCAGGAGAACAAACGGTAACAAATGTAGGCATGTGGTCATGAGTCACCAGAAGTTTAGCTGTTAAATTACAGCAGGTCAGATAGAGCATGATCGATCATCTATTTACTACACTAGTTTGATGTTTATGCCACATGATTTTGATGTCTGCATTTTGTTGCAAGAAGGATGTTCATGGATTCATGTATTATGCTCTTTTTACCCTGAGCTTAATTTTGTAATGTCAAAGATAAATAAGAAATTCTTGTAAATAACTGCCTGCATTACCAATTCACTGATGTGCTGCTATTTTATAATGCAAATTTTAAAGCATTATGCTAGTAAACCTAAATCAGTAACCCACCTAACTCCATTAAAAAAGAAAAGACACAAAGGAAACAACACAAACGCACTGTGAGTCGTTGTCATTCTTTTTGTAATAAAGGTCTCAACAATACAGGGCAAACTTATACATAAAAGTCAGGTTCACACAGCACAACAGTAAAACTTTCTAAAAATCACTAAACTCCTCTTTCATTTCAGCTTAGATTCAACTCAGACATGACAGTACTTTCAATAATCATAATTTATTTCCTCTCCACCTACTACTGTATGTCTAAAAATCACAGCCTTCAAGAATCTTTACTGAGCTTAACTGTGAAGGAGCACATTAGTGACTGGCAAAGGAAGAAATTATCTCAGATTCTTATTCTTTTATTTAAATTGTCAGATATTAAATTATGCATTAGATTTTTCATATTTTAATTCTAAAAAACGTATGACCCTATAAGCAATCCATATGCTTTTCCTCAGATAGTGGATGTTCCTTTGCCTTGAATGCAAATTGTTTAGACACCACAGGCAAAGTTTTTTTGTGAAAAGTGTAAATCCTTAAACCCGACTATAATTCATAAATATGAAAGTTCTACTGGGAGATTTAAGGTTGTGTCAGACTGCATATGCCTCAATATTAACATGTATCTGGCTGGTGAGAATCATGAATATATGGGCAAGGCAAGACTTTACAAAAACAGGCTGTTGTGACATTATGAATGGTCATAACATTTACACAACTATCATTAAACAATGAGCTGATTTATTGGTGCTATATCAGGGAAATTCATCTCTCTTTGGCAACATCCATCGCTTATATAATATGTATGTGGAATCAATAAAGGATTTCAGATGTGCTGTCCCTGGCCTCATATGCTTTATTGATTGCTTATGAAGTGCAGAGTATTGAATAAATCTTATCCTATATCACAAGATACCATTCAGTACATGCCGATAGCAGGATTCCCTTTAGCTGCACCATAAAGTACCATTTAATACTGATGGCACATTTACCAGAGATTAATGGATCACTAGTTGATGCATCAGCTATTTATCACTTTAATAACAGGCAATTAAAAATGTTGTCTAATCACCTTGATGGAGAGGGAGGGGAATAATCACCTCAAATACATGCATTTGGAACCATATTTGAAAGGACATTCCTCTCTGTTAGATGAAAGGGTAAACGGAATGTCATAAGGAATATTCACAGACTCCTCTCTAATGAGACAAACCCGTCATCCATCTCTGGAGCCGCACTGGAGCTAATAGTCATCACAAGGGAGTTAGTGTTACTGTAAGTAATGCACCAATTAGAGAATCTGTTATCGCAAAGGAATGAGAGGGCACGGGAAATACAACACTTTTCACACTCACACTCATTGCAAAGCACAATACAACACTTTTCACACTCGCACTCATTACAAACCACTTTAACATTCTAATTGTATTATTCAAAAATGATTGAGAATACAATGTCAGATGAATAAATAATTTCTTTAAAGGTTAAGAGGTTAATTTCAACACATCTAGCATTGTCAAACTGATTGTCAAACAATTATACAAAGCACTCCCCCAATCTGACATTGTTTAAACAAACCCAGCCCCAGACTCTACCGGTTGAACCATTTTTTTGGCCTTTTTGATAACTCTAGATAACCTTGGGCTGATTGTGCACCTTCCGCTGCAGCAAAGATTTAAAAGTACAAAATAACAACACGGGTTTCTTTTGCAGCTCTGTAATTGAAATGTGTATCCTAAACCCATGGGTGAGAAAGGAGGTACAAGTCTGGTGCCAGCAGACGTGGTGATTACAGCTCCAATAGCTTTCATAAAGGCTGTTGTTTAAAAAAGTTTGTTGGATCTTGAAACTCTGCCGGCAGTCCCAAAACCCTGCTTTCGGGTGCCACCCAGATGCCTTTAGTTGGGTGTCTGGCCCAGAGCTTTAAAGGTATAGTTCACCCAAAAATGAAAATTAGCCCATTATTTACTCACCCTCAAGCCATCCTAGGCGTATATGACTTCCTTCTTACAGATTAATCCAATCGGAGTTATATTAAAAATTGTCTTTGATCTTCCAAGCTGTTTAATGGCAGTCAGTGGGTGTTGCAGTTCATTAGTCCAAAAGAAGTTAAATAAAGCGCATCCATATATAATAAAAAAGTGCCTCACATGGCTCCGGGGGGTGAACAAAGGCCTCCTGTAGCGAATCGATGCGTTTTTGTAAGAAAAATATCCATATTCAAAACATAATAATCACTTTAATCTATCTTGCGCCAACAGTTATACACGGAAGCAGCTCCGGGAGGATGAGTCTCGTGAAAAAACAACGTTTGTTTATAGGAGCAAAGGAAGCAAAGTTTCCTTACTTTAGCAAAGGAAAACCAGTCTCCTCTTGGCTTATATCGAAATCCTCCGACATTCTTCTTTACAAATCCTCATTTTGTATTTGTAATTCGTTACCATTGTTTCGTTTTGATCTCCGCCCGGAGCTGCTTCCGTTTACAACAGTGAGCGCAAGCTAGATTAAATTGATTATTACGTTTTAAATATGGTTATTTTTCTTACAAAAACGCATCGATTCGCTACAGAAGGCCTTTGTTCACCCCCCGGAGCCGTGTGAGACACTTTTTATTATGGATGGGCGCTTTTTATTTCACTTTTTTTGGACTGAAGCAATGCAATAATGACTGGCATTAAACAGCTTGAAAGATCAAAGACAATTTTTTAGATAACTCCGACTGGATTCGTCTGAAAGAAGAAAGTCATATACACCTAGGATGCCTTGAGGGTGAGTAATTTATGGGCTAATTTTCATTTTTGGGTGAACTAACCCTTTAACTATGAAACAATTAAAGTGTTCAAAGGAGGTTGAGTACTGCTGCTGGGAATGATGGAAAACAGCTCTGGTTTTATTTTGTGGGTTTATAAAAGGATTAAGAGGGGTGGCTGGGACATTTATATTGTATCACAAGAGAAGAAACTCCATTGGTCCAAGACAAATTACATTTACATTTAGTCATTTAGCAGACGCTTTTATCCAAAGCGACTTACAAATGAGGACAATGGAAGCAATCAAAATCAACAAAAGAGCAATGATATGCAAGTGCTATAACAAGTCTCAGTTAGCTTAATGCACTACACGTAGCAAGGTAGAAAACAGATAGAATAGAAAAAGAATAGAGCAAGCTAGTGTTAGAGGCCCTTTTTGCTTTTGTTAATTGTATAATAAATAAAAAGAAAACAGATAGAATACAAAAAGATTAGAAAAGCTAGTGTTAGTTTATTTATTTTTTGTAAGAAAACATGTAGTTACTGTAGCGAATCAGCTCAAAGGGGAAATATGAATAATTAATCATAACTAGTTATAATTCATTATAAATATTTAGATCCGCTGTATGTATTGCTAAGGACTCAGATGCTCGGATTGATTTGGGCAGGTCATTTAACCAGGAGGGAACATTTAATTTAAAAGTCTGTGAAAGTGATTTTGTGCCACTTTGGGATGGCACAATAAAGCGACGTTCATTTGCAGAACGCACGCTTCTAGAGGGCACATAAGTCTGAAGTAATGCATTTAGGTAAAGCGGTGCAGAGCCAGTGGTGGTTTTGTAGGCAAACATTAATGCCTTGAATTTTATGCGAGCAGCTATTGGTAGCCAGTGCAAATTGATAAAAAAAGAGGTGTGACGTGCATTCTTTTTGGCTCATTAAAAATTTATCTTGCTGCCGCGTTCTGGATTAATTGTAAAGGCTTGATAGATCTGGCTGGAAGACCTGCCAAGAGAGATCTTTCATCTTTCATTTTAAGACCACGCCCTACCCCGCCTAACAAACGTTTCTCATGCGGAGATATGTTGATGTGTGTGCGTCTGTATGAAAAGCCATGTTTTTGAATGACAGAACCTAATGATGCCATGGAAACAGAGAACAGAAGTGGTCCAAGAACTGAGCCCTGAGGCACCCCAGTAGTTAGATGTTGCAAATTGGACACCTCACCTCTCCAAGATACCTTGAAGGACCTATCCTAAGACTCAAACCACTGGAGTGTGGTTCCTGAGATGCCCTTTGCCAATAGGGTTGACAGGAGGATCTGGTGGTTAACCGTGTCAAAAGCAGCAGACAAATCCAGCAAGATAAGTGTTGAAGATTTGGAATCCGCTCTTGCCAGTCTTAGGGCTTCAACAACTGACTCCAAGGTTTTTGGCTGTTTTTGAAGGAGTTATGGTTGATGTGCCTAACTGGATGGTGAAATTGTGATGAAACGATGGGTTTGATGGAATCACAAGCAGTTCTGTCTTGGCAAGGTTGAGTTTAAGGTGATGGTCCTTCATCCAGCAAGAAATGTCTGTTAGACAAGCTGAGATGCGAGCAGCTATCGTCGAATCATCAGGATGGAATGAGAGGTAGATTTGAGTGCCATCAGCATAGCACTGATATGAAAAGCCATGTTTTTGAATGACAGAACCTAATGATGCCATGTAAACAGAGAACAGAAGTGGTCCAAGAACTGAGCCCTGAGGCACCCCAGTAGTTAGATGTTGCAAATTGGACACCTCACCTCTCCAAGATACCTTGAAGGACCTATCCTAAGACTCAAACCACTGAAGGGTGGTTCCTGAGATGCCCTTTGCCAATAGGGTTGACAGGAGGATCTGGTGGTTAACCGTGTCGAAAGCAGCGGACAGATCCAGCAAGATAAGTATTGAAGATTTGGAATCCACTCTTGCCAGTCAACTGAGAGCAAGGCAGTCTCGGTTGAATGTCCACTTCTGAAACTGTGTTAATGATGTGAGTGAGTGCAGGCACAACTGCAGGAGAAGTGGCTTGAAGGAGATAAGATGGAATAGGATCAAGCGGACAAGTAGTAGGATGATTAGAAAGGATGAGTTTGGAGACTTCTGCCTCAGAGAGTGAAGAGAAGGATGTGAATGAGTGTATGTTTGCTGGTAAGATGCGCTTGACAGATTGTGGTGTGGAAAATTGTGCATTGATGGTTTTATTTTATTAATGAAGAACGTGGCAAAGTCTTCAGCTGTTAGAGTTGATGAAGGAGGGGGAGGAAAATGTTTTAAAGAGCATGCAAGTGTTTTAGTACATGATCAGTGGAGCAGTGTCATGTGTAAATGAGGTCCAGTTGGTTACCTGATTTGTGAGTAGCCGCAGTTAACACTCTCTTGAGATCAAAAGAGGCAAGCAGAGTGTGGAAGTCCGCAGCCTGAGGTTTATCTAGGTGGATGTTGAAGTCTCCAAGCATAACTAGGGGAGTACCATCCTCAGCACATCTA